ATCCTTTGTGGCTGAGTAGTACATAATTGTAGAAAAAAACCCCAAATCTTTTTTAGCTATTCTTCAGTTGATGGGCATTTATGTTGTTTCCAAGATTTAGCTATGACAAGTTGTGCTGCTATGAACATGGGTGCACACATAACACTGTGGTATGATGTTTTTAATTCTTCTGGGAGGATACACAGAAGGGGAATACCTGGGTTGAATGGGACCTCTAATCCTAGTATTTTGAGGAATCTCCATATTGATTTCCTCCGTGGCTGCATCATTCTGCAGTCCTGTCAAGAATGGGGAAGGATTTCTTTTTTCCCCCCACAGCTCCTCCAGCATTTGTTATTGGTTGTTTTCTTGATGGTAGCCATTCTCACGGGGTAAGGTGGAATCTCAGTGTTCTAATTTGCATCTCTTGAATGACCAATAATGATGAACGTTTTTTCATGTATTTATTTGCCATTTGTATTTTCATCTGATAAGTGTGTTTTTAATCTCAGATATCTATTTATAGTTTGGGTCTTTGAATTTTGGGGGCCTGATTTTTAAAAATTCTTTTTATGTCTTAGAAGTTTTTTGTCTGAGGGGCAGTTGGTTAAAATTTTTTCCCAATTCGTGGGTTTTCTTTTTACTTTATTGGTGATTTCTTTAGATGTGCAAAAACTTTTCAATAAGATGAGATCCCAGTTGTTGATTCTTTGAAATATTTCCTGTGCAGTTTGTTTTTTGTTCATGAACTCTCTGCCTGCCCCAATGTCGTCAAGATTCTTACCTACTTTCCAATAAATTTAGTGTTTCTGTTTTAATATTTAGATCTTTGATCCATCTTCTCTTTCGTTTAATGCTTGGTGATAGACATGGGTCTAATTTTAGTCTTCAGAATTTGGAAAGCCAGTTTTTTCAGCACCATTTATTAAGGAGGCTGTCTTTCTTCCAGTTAACATGTTTGGCCTCTTTGTCAAAGATAAGGTGGCTGAGTGTGTTTGTATTTGTGTCTGAATCTTCTACACTGTTCCACTGATCCTCGGGTCTGTTTTTTTGATAGTACTGTGCTGATTTTATCACAGTAGCATTGAAGTATAATTTGAAGTCTGGGATTGTGATGACTTCTGCCTTGCCTTTGTTGCTCAGGATTGCCTTTGCTATTCTAGGTCTCTTGTGTTTTCAAATGAATTTTAGGAATGTTTTGTCTAGATCTGTGAGGTATGCTAATGGTATATTGATCAGGATTGCATTAAATCTATATAACAATTTTGAGGGTAGGGCCATTTTCACAATGCTGGTTCTTCCTACCCATGAGCAAGAGATATCTTTCCATTTTATGATAACCTCTTTGATCTCCTTTTTTAGAGTACTGTAATTTTCAATGTATAGATCTTTTACTTCTTTTGTTAGGTTGATTCCTAAGTATTTCATTTTTTTGGGTGTTATTGTGAAGGGTGTGGTTTTCCTAATTTTTCTCTCAGTGACTTTGTTATTTGTGTACAGGAATGCTATTGATTTTTGAGTGCTGACTTTGTTTCCAGCTATGCTATTAAATCTATAAGCCTTTTGGTGGAGTTTTTTGGGTCTTCTATGTAAAGTGCCATCATCTACAAATAATGATAATTTGAATTTTTCCTTTCCTATCCTTATTCCTTTTATTTCTCTCTCTTGTGTAATTGCTTTGGCTAATGTTTCCAGAACTATATTGAATAGGAGTGGTGATAGTGGACATCCTTGTCTTCTTACTGATTTTAGAGTGAAAGTTTTCAGCTTTTGATCATTTAGTATGATACTATCTGTTGGTTTGTCATAGATGGCTTTTATCAGATTGAGATAAAGACTATTCCAATTTTCTTAAGGGTTTTTATCATGAATGGGTGTGGACTTTTTCAAATACTTTTTCTGCATGTATTGAGATAATCATGTGATTTTTGTCTTTAGTTCTGTTAATATGGTGTGTTACATGTGTTGATTTGTGTATATTGAACCATCCCATCATTCTTGGGATGACTCCTTTTGGTCATGGTGTATAGTCTTCTTGATGATTTGTTACATTATATTTGCTAGTATCTTATTGAGGATTTTTGTGTCTATGTTCATTTGAGAGATTGGACTATAATTTTGTTGTTGTTGTTGAGTTCTTTTCTGGTTTTGGTATCAGGGTAATAGTTGCTTCCAGGAATGATTTTGGAAGTATTATTTCCCTTTCAGTTTCCTTAAAGCATTTCAGCATTAGTAGCAGTAGTTGCCAGGTTGCTCTTTTATTGTTTGCTTTAGAAAAGGAGTCATCTACAATGGAGTTAAAAGACTGAAGCCCATTGGCTTGCCCCTGGACAGAGTAGATCCGGCCACAATGGTGCCAGTGAGGCACACAATTGAATACCTCTAGCAGAAAGAAGCTCCCCAGTATTTCCTTGACTTCCAGTATCATTAGATGGAACTTCCTAATTGTGCCATCAAAACCCGCTAAAAATACTGAGGGAAATGTTTAAAAATCATATTTTCAAGTACATCAGTGAGCTGGTTAGCAAAAATGAAAGTTATGGAGAGAAAGACCAAGTGAAACAGGATTACAGGTAAGCACTGAGGTCATATGCTGTAGCTTGAGGTTTACAAAGTGAAACAGTTTAACACAGGACACATAATTTATATAATTACTTTATAATAGTCACCCAAAGAGTCATATACCAAAAGAGTGCAGGAAATCTGCCCACACACTGAAGACCAAGGAATCCAGCTGAGGGCCTGGATCCACAGTAATGTCCTGCATGAGTCCAGTTGGAGGCTAAGAGCCCACAACAATGTCTCAAGCAGGCCTGTTTCAAGGATTTGCTCTGGGAAGACCTGAAGGTCAGTGGTGGAAGCTGGAAAGTCTGCCGGAGGGATGAAGGTTCTGTGCTAGCAGGCTGAGGGATCTGCACTGGAGCCAGGAAGCAGTGCTCAAAGTAAGAACCAGAGCTCCCCCAAAAGGTGCCACAGTCATCTTCGGTGACAGTGAGGACCCCACTTCCTCCAATGACTAAAACAGCTGAACTATCATGAAAGCCAGCATAACAAGCTTCTCCATCTTCCCCTTTGGAGCCAGGAAGCAATGCTCACAGTAAGGACCAGAAGTCCTCCAAAGTGAACCACAGCCATTCCAAATCACAACAAGGTCTCAAGCTCCTTCAATGATGAGAACAGCCGAGTTCATCAGGAAAGCCAGCATAACAAGCTCTCCAAGAGAACCAACAGCTCCCGACAGCTCCCCAACAGCTTCTTCAGTTCTGCCTGTTATGCTGCCAGCAACAATCCTCAGGTGGGCGTCCCACACCAAGTACCACATTGGTTCAGTTCAGCTGGGGGTTATAAATTGACCACCAGTTGCCAATCCACCACAGTGGGTGTTACTAAAGTTCTCATACAACTTCCTCTGGAGGCCATGTTGGTCAAATATAGGTTCCCATTTTGTTTTCATACTGTCTTAGTTACTTTTCTTGTTGCTGAGACAAAATACCCAACACCCAAAATTAAGGAAGGAAAGGTTTATTTAGCTTACAATTTGTGGAGGTTATAGTCTGTAATCAGGTGGCTCCAAGTCAGGGTGGCATGACAGAGGGGCAACTCCAAGGTGACAGAAGACAGCAAAAGCAATGAGAGCAAAAAAGGAGAGGAGCAAGCCTCTTTCCCTCCCTTATATTGTAAGCAGGCTACCTGCCCTAGGGCGGGTGTAGCACTTGCACCATCTTCGTGCCCTCTTCTTGCACAGGCTGAGGATGTTTACAAAGTGAGGACCCTGCCCTCTGCTGAGTCACTTAGTTAAGCTTCTAAACTTCTCAAGTTGACACAATGAATCAACCATCACAACATTGTACTGTGTAGACAGCTACCCTAGGGCATGTCCTCTACTCCACAGAATGTACAACTGCTGAGTTACTTTGTTAAGCTTCTAAACTTTTCAAGTTAACACAACGTGTCAACCATTACACATACCTCTGTGCCCCAGGTTCCGGGTAAGAAAGATCCCCACAGGGAAACTCTGGCCTTGGAGTTAGGAGATCAGCCCAAAGGAGACCAGCCCAGCAGTCATTGTTTCCTTCTGAACTTTGGTTTAATCATTTGTAAAACAAGCTAGTATCTCTTTAGGTACCTAGAACTTCCAATTTTATGAATTTGTTTTGTTTTGTTGTCTTTTTGAGACAGGGTCTCAGTATGCAATTCACACTGGCCTTGAACTCACTTTGTAACCCAGGCTGGCCTTGAACTCACAATGATCTTCCTGCCTCAGCCTCCCAGGTGCTGGGATTACAGGAGTGCAGTACCATACCTGACCCAATTTTATGAATCTAAATGATATTTCTCAAAGTGTGGTGTAGAGGAAAATCAAATTCATTAGAAGTGTCCCCTGAGGGGGATACAGCTGAAATTTCCAGGCCTCCATATCCTACTGTGGTAGGGTCCCACTATCTGGATTTTAAGTAAGCACAGGAAAGGAATATTTTAAGCACTGTGATTTTTATTCAGCTCTGGCTTTAAAATGTAATTGGAAGCAGCCTTAATGAGTAATTGAATGAGGAAGATTGAAGGGAATGTGCGTGATTTGGACACTGGCTCCTGAAGAGGAAAACTCTGGTTAGCCATTGTCTTGTTAGGTGGACATGGAGAAGATTAGTGCATTTTTATATACTCATTACCACAAAAATTGTACTTTTTCTATATGGTGCCATCATAAAATTGATCTTTTTTTTGGTCTAAATTCTTTTACTATAAAGGGTTAAAAGTCTTTCTATAATAATGAAAGGTTTCTTTTGATAGTTTTGAAGACTATTGACTTACTACTGTGGAAGTAAAACCTGGAAAAAATACTCAAACTCTAAGATTTACCAAAGAGGAATGCAAACCCTCTGTTTGCCAAGAACCACATTAGCTTGTCCTTACTATTCCGTATCTCTGCCTGAAGAAGCCATTGCCTTGTTCCCTCATCACTTGCTCGTGGGGCAATCTTTGTTTCCTCACTGATGAACATTTTCATTCATCCTTCACAGACAAGTCCTTTGTCCCTCACCATAGTGATGACCGAGGAGACAGATGGAGCATTTCCTCTTGCTCTGTCACTGCAACCGATATAACTCAATCCTGTTTGACGCATGTTCCTCTGCGCAACCTGCTTTTCCCTGTTCATGACTCAGTGTCTGGATTCTGCTCATGTTCATCCAGAACAACAGGTGAGGGGTCACAAGGTCAGTGCAACAGGAGTCCAGATCGATGTCCTAGTCTACCTCCAATCGCTGCAGTCTCTCCTTTGTATTCTCAACCTTTCAGTTAGGTTACATTGTCTAATTTGAACCACCTATTGAAAACCATGTTTGTCGAGGAAGTAGTGTGTTCACTTAAGCTGTAGATGATGTGTGTTATGGAAAGCATGATTTTGCCCAATTACCTTGGATTACTTAACTCCATCTTTGGCCTTACAAAACTAATTACATGGTTGCATTTGCATATCTGGACTTTACATATTATTTGGTAAGATTTTAGAACCTTGATAAATTGCTGAGTTTGTTAGTAATGAAAAGTAACATAAAATACCTGTAAATATAGATATGATCACTGATTCATTAAGTCAACCACACTTATTTAATTTTGGTATATTCTAAGCTCAATGATAAGTGCTAGTAATGAAGACTAATTCTACTTTGACCCTTAGTTATATCAGGACCCTTTTTTTTACACATCTCTGAAAGGGGAGAAGTGCTACATAAAAAGCAGGAAGGCGGAATCAAGGTAAATAGGCCCAGCAAGGGAGCGATACTGCTGCTTCCATGACAGTTAAGAAGCTTTCCATTGCAGGCACCCAACAGAATTTCGTTCTTTTTCTCAGTGCTGACTTGGGAACTCTGCGTGAGGAGGTGAGATAAGAAAGAAATCAGTTGTGCATCTATCTCTAACGAGGTTCGGCTGGTGGCTTTGGGAGATGATTAAAAGAAAACAAGCATATTTTCCAAGTATCTGAAAAAACTAGTGTAGATATTTGGAAACGAACTGGAAATCGTATACTTGCTAGGCTGCTACCTTCATGTTCCTGATTGCTCACTCCCAATCTCTCCTTGGCTGTTCAAAGCTCACTAAAATGTAGCATACATAATAAGGGAAGAATTTTTCACTTTTCCCAGCCTCACATTCCTTTTCTGGTCTTTTCCTTCCAGTACCAGACCTCACCATTCTTTCTACATCTTTCTCAAACCTATGGATGGAAACATCCAGAATCTGATCACTCTGCCCCATGCCCATTCTTTCTACCTATCTGCAAGCCAACACCACATTCTGCTGCTGCACAGACCCCTAACTGCTTCTGTTCATAGTTTTTCCTCAGTTGACACTCTCTGAGCAACATGCAAAATGTTCTTTTAAAACAGCATATATAGATTATGTACACTTTAAAATTTTTAGTGGGTTTTTACAATTACAATGCAATAGAAGTTTATTAGTGTAGCTAATATTACTGCAGCCCTAGTGCATGGCTTTGCTCCTCTGTTCTTCTTCTTCCTTTCTGCACCGGCTACACTGGCCTCTGCTGGTCCCTGGACACTTTCAGCATGTTCCCCATCGAAGACTTTGCCCCTGTTCCCGGCAGGCCTGGAATGCTGTCCTCCCTGACCTTCTGTCATAGTTTGGGGTTTTCCAAGGGTAACAATATAATACAGGACACACATTTCATAAGATTATTTATAATAGTCACACAAAGAATCATATACAAAAGGAGGGTGCAGGAAATCTGTCCACACACTGAAGACCAAAGAATTCACCGGAGGGCCTGGATCCCATGGTAATGTCCCGCATGAGTTCAGCTGAAGACCTAGGGCCCATTACAATGCCTCCCATGAATCCAACTGGAGGCCTAGAGCCCAGGACGTCTCACGCAGGCCTGTTTCATGGATCTGTGCTGCGAAGGCCCAAAGGTCAGTGGTGGAACCTAGAAAGTCTGTGCCAGCAGGATGAAGGATCTGTGCTAGCAGGCTGAGGGGTCTGCACTGGAGCCAGGAAGCGGCACTCAAAGGAAGAATCAGAACTGCCCCACAAAGTACCACAGCCATCCTCAGCAACAGTGAGGTCCCGAGCTCCTCCGATGATGAGGAAAGCCAAGTTCCCATCAAGAAAGCCAACATGACAAGCTTCTCCAGGAGACGGAGCTGTGCACCATCTGGCCCTCCAGAGCCAGGAAGCGATGCTCAAAGGAGGAACAGAGCTCCCCGAACGTGAACCATAGCCATTCTCAGTGCCAGTAATGTCCGGAGCTCCTCCTCCAATGAGTTCATCAGGAAAAGCAAGCATGATAAAGTCCTCCAGCAGAGTAGCTCAAGAGAACCGGCAGCTCTCTACCAGCTTCCCAACAGCTTCTACCAGCTCCCACCAGCCTCTCCACCTCTGCCTTTCCAGTTCTGCCTCTTATGCTGCTGGCAACAGTCCCCAGGTGGGCCTCCCATACCCAGCACCACGCTTACTCAGTTCAGCTGGGGGTTACAAGTTGACCCTTCCCAGCATGCAGACTGACTTCCTCCCTGATACCTATCATAGCTATCAGCAGAATCTCCCTTCTATCCCCTTTTTTAGAAGTTGTTCTCTTTATCATTTGCTTGCTTGGTTCCTGTCTCCCACAAATAGTGTTGGCTGCATAAGAATTGAGATTTTCTCTGTGCTGTTCTCTTCCATACCCTACTCTGAACAGAACAGGCATGTGGTACACTCTCAACAAATATTTATTCGATGAACATATATTAATAAGAAGAACATATATTGGCAGTGGGAGAGTAATACATTTATCATGAAAATAAAGGGTTTGCCATTATCACAATGTATTCATAAACAAAAGTATGCTGTTCAGTTTTTTTTTTTTGTAGCCTTACCATGCATGAAACATACTTTAAGAAGTATAGAGAAAATGTGGGATAAAAAGAATATATTTTTCCTTGCTGCATTTTAAATGATTAAATACTTAAATGATAATTCTCTGGATCATTCAACCACAAAATAGGTGATTGATGTGGAAAACATTTCACATACATGTTTTTCTGGCAATGCAATTATTTACTAACCTGAAGTTATTTACTTTTCTTTTCTCTTCAGGGGGATATAAATCATCAAATCAAAACACCTACACAAATCTAATGATATTAGAAACGTTGGATGAAAGTGGATTTTAAATGGTATTTTGGTTTATTTAAAGGGACAGCGGGCCACAGAATATGAAATAAATGTGTAATATTCAGTTTTGTTGTCTTTTATATAGCCCAGCATTGTATTTCCTAAATGGGGCAACTCAATGCTAAAGAAAGACAAAATACAATGGTTAGACATTGAATAATGGTTTTTAAAACTGCCAGTCTTCTTTACAGTCTTACTCAGTTTTGGCGAGTATATTTAAGGCTACACTTCATAATTTTATAAGTGTGCTGTATTATTAAATGACACCATGTCTGGAGTTCAAGTGATGTGCTAAGGAGACTTAGCAAAGGTTCTAACCATTCTTCCCTTCATGATGTTGAGGTCCTTCATGGCATGGTTTCTTCAGAGGGAAGGTGGAGGCCAGAGAGAGCAGAAAACAAAGCCACAAGTCAGTGTTTTTGTACTGAGGATAAAAGGACATTGGACAAGAACTGTAATCCAGGCACACGGTACACACCATCCAAGGAGTACGGAAAGTGTTCTGTGGGGTTTCAGTTCCATTTCTGGCTGTGGGAAGAAGAAAGCATCTAAAAGGCTAAAAGTCTATGCAGTTTGTTCTTACGGCGATAAAGGGAAGACAAATTCCAGGGAGGACTCTGCTGCCGTAAGTATTTGGAAGGCAGGTAATCTGCCTGGCGGATGTGCTCTGAGGAAGGGTTTGATGACCGCAGTGAGGACTTCGAATTTTGGGTGTTTCAAGGATTGCTGAGGCTGAATAGCACGATGGAAGGGATGTTTTGGGAAGATGATTATGGCAGCAGAATGGGAGAAGAAAATGACTTTGGGTGTAGCAATAGTCAGAAAATTAGTGCTGTAAACCAGGTGGTGAACAATGCAGGCAGAAGAGAGGAAAGACCTGCGGAACGCGGTAAAGGTAGAAGTTAAGAGCTTCAAAACTAAGCTGGTGCGGAGAAAGAGAAGAGGTGCAGTGTTAGAAATGTGGACTTGAGACCTAAGAAGGGACCCATGCAATGGTGAGTCAGAATTATCACATATACTTAGAATGTGGTGGAGAATTTGGGTGAGAGAAAGACGTGTGGGCTGTAGCGGGCTATAGTGGAGTGGGATGGGCTGGTGTGAGTGTAACTGGGACATTAGATCTGCATCCTTGGGCTTCAGATTCACTGTAACAACGCTTCAAGTTGCTCAATTAAATTTCATCCACCTCTGGAGCGGGAAGCCGCCTCATATCCACCTCGTCTCTCTACAGAGGCCCCAGCTAAGGCGTTCATCTTGAAGTGCAAGCAAATAAGTCTGTCATCTGCTGTGTAGTCAACATAAGAGAAAGCTTCAAACGTGAAAGTGTGCAGAACCTTTACACTTTGTTTTTTTTTTTGGTTTTTCTCCGGTACCGGGAACCGAACTCACGACCTTGCACTTGCCAGGCAGGCGCTTTTTGCCGCTGAGCTAAATCCCCAGCCCCAGAACCTTTACACTTTGGTCTGCTCCTTTTCGTGACTCCTGTGATGGTTACACTCTTTGTTTATTTTTTTGTTGATTTTTTTTTTGGTCTTTTTGTGACAGGATCTCATTATGCAGTTCAGGCTAGCTCTCACTTTGTAACCCAGGCTGGTCTCAAACTCTCAATGATCCTCCTGCCTCAGCCTTCTGAATGCTGGGATTATACAGGTGCACCACCATGCCCGGCCTGATTACACTCTTTGACAGGGGCACAGCAGAGTAAAAATACAAGCAACTGAAATAGCACAAAACCCCAGACCTCTTGCGGGCCACAGGCCACATGGTTGCAACCAATATATGCATCCAAAGAGATAAAATATAGAATTAAATCACGGGGTTGTGACCATCAAAAGAATGTCCAGTTAATGCCCATTATTTTTTTTGTGAAACAAACTGAGACTGAGAGAGGGTAAGTGATTGGCTCAAGGTCACAGAGCAACAGTGGTTCCCCTTACACTGAGATGTTTGTTATTTTATGAATGAAAACAATTGTTGAGCTAGGTCAGGAAAGCAAGAAATCATGTGTAGTGTACTTACACTGATGTCTGAGGTGTTAATCAACTGGAGACAAATACACAAATGCACTAGGGTTGGACAGTTGAATAATCAGTTGTGTAAACCTCTCTGTTAGAGAGAGAAATGAAGGCCCTGTTTTTTTTTTTTTTTTAGTAGAAAACTATACTAAAGTATTATTATAATCCTATATTTGTATTATATCATTTCAGAGTAAAATGGGGTTTTCAAAGCACTGATAGAGGAAAGATCCTTTAAAAGACGGACTTTCCTTTTGGTTCTGAAGATAGGCCGGTACCACATGTACTGGGTCAGGTACGGGATGCTCTTTCTAGTGTGTGCTTTATTGTTCTGGGCAGAGCTGAGGATAATGAGCAATCCTCTGAAGATTGGATATTTCAGCTCAAATGGAGAGTTGCTCAGCAGTTCGACAGCTCTATCAGAGAAGTTGGAGTGAAATTCTAGAAAGGACAAACATTTTATTAACGCACCTGATTCCATGACCTTCTGCAAGGCAGCATGAGCAGTCACAGCCCTGGCAGTGCAGGGTAAATTTCCACTCCCTCCTGCCTTTCGGTGAGAGTGCCCCAGCAGCTGTGGGGCTTGTTAGCTTCAGGCAGAATTCTTTGTGTCAACCTTCCTGTTCATTTCTCCAGTGGTCAGAGATTGAATTTTTTAAAAAATTGAATTCATGTGTGCTCTTGGAATCTTTGGATATTATTCAATTTTGAGTCTCCTTTAGAAATGAGAACATTAAACAGGACAGAAATCTTAATATCCCCATGCAGTTTCCTAGTTGTATTTATTAATAACATGAGAAATATTGTGTTGGAGTGCAGGTGTGAGATTTATGTTTGTTCTAAATCTTTTTTCTCTCCAAATCACTTATATACTTAAATATTTACAAATGTATACCATCTCCAGGGAGAAATACAACAGATAATAATTTTTAAGTGGTAGAGTTAAGGTTTGCCTTAGCTCTATTGAAAGTTAAATTGCCCTTATAAGGGCACAATTCTGAGTTTTCATAATATTTATAGCATTGTACATCCACCATCATGATCTAATTCCAGAACACATTCACCACTCCAGAAAGAAACCTTATATTCATCACCAGGCAGATCGGCTCCTCCCCTGCCGGGCTGCCGGCAGCCACTTGTCTTTCTGCCTTTAAAGCTTTGCCTCTGCCTCTGGACGTACACTGGGGTTTTGTAATAGTGGTCCTCTCCTTCTGGCTTCTGTCACTTAGCATGTTTTCGGAATCCACCCATGTCATAGCTTGCATTAGAACATTTTCTTTTGATGAAAGAATAATATTCCACTGTATGGATTGTGTTATCTGTTCATCAGCTGGTGGACATATAAGTTGTCTCCACATTTTTCTATTATAAAGAATGCTTCTATGGACAATCATATTCTAGTTTTTGCTCTGATCTATTTTTCCTATTCTCTTGGGTACATACCAGGAATGGATTGCTTTTTAATGGTACTGTTCATTTTTGGCATGAGTGGTTTGCAGAGTAAAGTTGGTTGTAGGTATTTTATTTCTAAAGTGTACATGTGTTGTTCTATTTTCTTAGTAGTGAAATGAAGTTCCTTGAAATCTATTTCCACGGACTTTAGTTCTTCAGTATAATATCAAGGTAAGTCCTTTATAATGGACATGAGTGTAAGTCTCAATATGTGAGAATTACTCAAGCGTATTGTTTTGTATAAGCAAAAGGACAAAGCAGAAAAATCCAATTGGGTCAATACATCAGGAAGGACTAAAATGTTGAATTCCAGCTACCTTTTCTTTACCACAACTTCCCTCACCATGTTGCCTAGATTGGTCTCAAACTCCTGGCTTTAAGTAATCTTCCTGCCTGCACTTCCTCCCCCGTAGCTGGGATTACAGGCCTGTGCTAGCAGGCCAGGCTCCGAGCTGCCTTCCTCACACTACGCCCTGCCCCTTGCTCTGGCCAGCACACAGCATAGCCAGTGGCGTGGTCAGTGATGATAAATGTGCTCACTGCCATTTTAAAGTACTCTCAAGTGTCAGGGCTTTGCATAATTGGGGGATATTATTTCCACTTTACAGATGAAGCAACTGAGACCCAGGGAAATTACTGAACCCCACATTACACAACTAAGTGGCAAGGCTAGAGTTCAAATCCAGAAGAGATAAAATGTAGTGATTGGAAGCAAGGCCTTGGAGTCACATAGACCTGGTTTTTATTTTTATTTTTTTTTTGTTTTCCGGTACCAGGAATCAAACTCACGACCTTGCGCTTGCCAGGCAGGCGCTGCACCAGTGAGCTAAGTCCCCAGCCCCAGACCTGGTTTTTATTCCTGGCTCTGCCATGGTCTAGCTGAGATCTGAGGCAAGTTTCTTCAAGTCACGGAGTCTCCATTTCCCTCTCCGTAAAGGGAAGAGGACATTACTTAACCCGGAGAGAGGGCTGAGCAACAGTGTGGAAAGCATGTGCCCGTTCTGTGTGCTGAGTGCGGATCTGGTCTTGCACTCCACGCCCTGTCCCCCGCACTGGGCCTGAGGATCTGCTTATCTGCAGCTTACTGGAGCAGCAAGACGCTCTGGTTGAGGGAGGCAGGAGGAGTCGCAACATGGACTCAGAAACCCGGAAGAAATAAATGTGGCAGTGGGTGCGATGTGGTTTTCTCTTTCTTCCTACTAGGGGCGCCTGAGGCTGTTGCAGAGCTGGGATAATGGCCAGGATAGCTTCACACCCTTGCTGTACCCCCGTCATGGTGCAAGTCCTGTGCAGGTCATCGGGTTGTGAGAAAGAAGCCCAGCGTCTGAGACACTGGGACCAGCTCGTATTCTTCAGGCCCAGCCAGAGCCTGGGCTCTCAGTTCACATCTCCTTCGTGTCCTGATGAGCCGGGATGCAGGATTATCAGACCAAAGACTTATTTGTTAAATCTGGCGTCCCCACCTGGGGGAGACAACCTAGAAGTAGTCCCAAGAATCTTTTTTTCTTTTAGTCTTTTAACTGTAAAGAAAGTACCAAAGTTCCCCGTGTCTTTTCCTCTTGGTCCTCCAGTGGCTTCTCA